GGCTTAAAATAAATGGAATTTTAGTAGTGTTTGGATTTATTGATCGAATTATGAGGATGCGGTTAAAATGTGTATTGTAGAAAATATAATGTTGTAGTCTAATGTCAATGGGAGCTATATATTTATATTAATCGTAGCCTCTAAATGTAATCTAGTGCCGATATTTTACGTGAATTTTGTTGGAAAAAAAAAACAGCAATATCGGGTTAAGAATTGACGCCTTATAACTTTCAAAAATCTCTTTAACAAACCAGGACGATTCTACAATATAACGAGTAATGTGCCCTGTTAAAATATTCGTTCCTTAGTCTCGACCATAGATAAAGAATCTCTATGAAATCAAGATTGAAATGAAATAAAAAAAAAACATCGATTCAAAACCGGATCAATAGACCAAATAACTCCTTGGTAATTTCGTAGAATTTAAAACTACTCCAAATACTCGTGAAAAAGTATATACGTGTTAAATTGTAAATGATTTGACTTTAAATCGACTACGCTGTCAACTTCGTTCAGTAAACTCGGTAAAGCAAAACGGGGACTTCCAAAACCTGTTTCCGTGCCAAATCGTTTGTTAGCTTTACCAATAACATTTAACGAAATAAAAAAAAAGACAAACAGAACTGTCAAAAACTTCAAGCAACGAACGCTTTTTACTTGATAGCGTCATTTGTAAGTATTGAATAGTCGTTACCGATTCAAATTATAACTTAGTATTTTTAAAATAATGAGTCACTTCCCGATTTCCACCATTGGCGCCATCCTTCGAGAACACATTATCCTTCCAAAGGGTAATGGAAAAAGATTTTTAATGTGGTCCATTAATGCCGGTGTTGGGTCCTCTCTGTAATTTGGAGGCATGGTTTTTTAATCTCAACGTCTTGATGGGGTTCTAAGCGACTCTCCATAGCGATCTTTATCTTGAAGCATAATAAAAAGAGACAAGACGTTACTTATATTTTATTTAATGTCAGACCAGATTGAAATTTTGATAATATGAATACGGCAAGGGTAAATTTTGTATCATTAATTTATGAATACGTAATAATTATGTGGAAAATATGTCATTCCACATATTATATTTTACGGTTTTCTTGGCATTCACCGTATTGGTTAAACTTGAGAATAAATTTCGTGTTACGTTATCTTCCTTAACACGAAATTTCAATTTGACCTTACCAACTGTTTGTGAAGCAATAATCTCGACTTTTATAGTTTCGGCCGTTCGGGCGAGAACGTTTTCGTAGTAACTTGGTAATTGCCTTGTTAATTTGAATCTAGTGGCGGTTTCTTTGATGTGTCAGTGAAGTTGTCAGACTGGTGTTCTGAATCTTTCATCAGACGGTCTCGATGGGATTTCTTAAATCATATCAGGTTCATTACAGATATTTCAAATTTATTGGTGATTCGGAGTTTGATTTCTAATTTTACTTTTGATTTGAACACTTCCCAAGCTCGCTTATTGTCTTTAGCTCGTATTATCTTTGCGCAGTCTTAACTTTCTTGAAAATATTACAGTCGAAACATCCGGTAAATATCCAAAAACCGTATGTACTATCGTATCGAAATCTTGAGTTTTATCTACGATACGAGTCAGACCGCGTTATGGACACAGAAACCGCTTGTTCGGTCTCTGTCATAAGACAGCATTTGCGTGATGTTCGGCGAAGCAAAGTTCGCGCCCTACCGATGCTCTTCCATTCATGGAACTTTACTGGTTATAAACACACATTTTCGTTGTTACCTTCAAGAATTTATTTCTAATATTAAACAATCAAACATTTTTCTCTTTCGTTTCGTAGAGTTTCTTAATTGGCATTCATGTTTAAGGCATCGTTTTACTTGTCATATTAATATTTTTTGGACACCCCAACGAAATGAATCAAGGAAAGCAAAAAATTTATTAATGATGAGATGTTTTATATAAATTTTATTAGCATATGAAAACGATAATTGAGTTGCAAACTAGCACTGATTCAAGCATAAATCTTTAATAGAATACGAAAGCTGATGAGGACAAGATCGTTAGCTAGCACCCAAGCTACGTAAGATATTTGCATTTTATTATAAAGTGGTAGCTAATGCAATTCAGATAACGAATTTACACTTAAGTATTATATCTCATATATTATTGTAATGTTATTATGGTACGCAGGAACCACAATGTTTTGAGTCTAAATCCCAATTTTATATCGACTGTCCCGATCTTCAAAACAGAGAATGTGTGACATAGCCTTTTGGGTGAATACTTACACTAAGCTACCAGTAAATATACGTAATTCAAAATAATTTTAGTGTCAGAAGTTTTATCTATGACTATAAATTTAAATATTTTGCATACAAATGCACCTGTGGCCCAAAAGTGTTTGGGAAAGAACGCAACTAGAAGCTGTAATATAAATTGATTAAATTCATCAATCCCCGGTTGCCTTGCGTACAAAACATGATTAATTTTTTGTTAACATCTGATGATACACTAGTCACCGATGTACAAGTCATCCGTGAAATTAAATCCTAAGGTCGTCGGCAGTAATTGCTTGGCGGAAATGTTTTTATGGTTATATAAATGTTTTAAAAAAAAAGGCAAATGTACAATGAATAAAACTTAATATTTTTTTAGGTAAAAATTTGGCAAATGGGTTGTAATCGATACAATTACGTATAGTGAAAATATCTAATAGAGGCAACAATGCAGAATGGAAAATATCCAACACTTCAATGTTAAACATGATATTAGAGATCCGCATTTATTTTCTAAGACTTAACATACTCACTGGGTTGTAGCGGTTGATTCTCCGAACACCGATTCCAACCAAATCGTAAAATATTATGATCGACTACTTTTAATAAACAAGTAGAACCAGTCTTGTAAGTAATAAACTATAAGAATCTGATCGGCTACAAATTAATGTGAGAAACGATTTTGATGAAATTGATAAAAACGAAATTAATAGTTTTAGTTGTAGAATCAAATCAAAATCCGAAGTTGATGGAAATGTTTGTACTCAAGGGGCCTTTATATGAACGTTTAAATCTAACTTCTCATGCTGACACTATATCTAAAACATAGTTCAGAAATACATGCTTTGTTCATATTCAAAATATGTACTAGTATGTATTACATTGCAAGACGAATAAAGAATAAACAGTAGAAAAAAACGTGTCCATGTCCATGAATATTTTTTTTTAACTAAAATTTAAACATAAAATCGCTAATTCGACGCAAGTGATTAGAATCACCGAAATATTAATATTTGTCTTTATCAACCAACATTCATGACTCACTTAAAACCTCAGCAATTAGAATTTTTGTCTCATTTGCAAAATGATTACGGCAAACTATTTTTTTTTTATCCTTAAGTAGACTGAATTATAAACACTATCCAAGGAATATACATACAAAAGTTAAGATTAGAAAATCTTCCGAATTGAATTCCTCATCACCAAAAAAAATGACGGGGCACTAAAAAAGTATGTATTTTTTTCCGATTCCAATATATAATAACGATACGACTGTTTACACGGCGCATTCTTCGCGTGACGGCCAATGGAATCTTTGGAGTCATCATCATTAAATGAGTTCCTACGTTGGAGGTGGTTGCTCATTAGAGTTTTTGTCAATGCATTCAAGTTCCCATGATTATTCAATTTTTCGTGTTCGCCCGTGTATTACTCTTACTTAGTTATTTGATTACGATTTATAAATGTTTTAGTTATTTTTATCACGCGACCGTCAGACGTTGATCTCCGTGGGAACGTTAATATTTAAGATGAAACTTAACTTCATCAAAAACTCACCAAATATCTTAACAACTGAAATGAAATCAAAACTGTAGCACCTTAAACGCAAACCGTTGCAAGCCAATTTCTCCTGTGTTATGTATTTCCAAAAATCCCGAGCGTCAAGCGAACGAGCTTATAGATAATCAAATTACGAAGATTTTAAATACAAAGTAACATAATACTTTAGTTGCCCAAATCTCTGATTTTTAATGGCGAGATAAAAGCTATGTAAAATAATAATAAAAAACGTGATTTTTTTTATTTAATTGAAACATTGATGAACACTCTTCCGTACTTCCTTTATTAATCCGTAAATTAAATCTTATATCCTCTTCTAGTTTCGTTTCCGTAAATATAAAGATAGTTAGCCAATTCTCGCATCGTGCAATCCATGTATTTTATTAAACAAGAATAAAAGATACAAAAATTGCAAAGCTATCCCCATTCCAACTCAGAGTTTATTTTTGTAAAACGCTTTTGTCGTTTTATTTTCTTTGTCAATTCAAGTACTAATAAGATCTCGTAAACGAATTTGATCATGTCGCCTGTCCCTTAGTAGACGGCCATAGTAACCCAATACGGGCCGCTGTTAATAATCGCAACGATTTGCCACAGAATGCTTTTAACGTAATTCGATTCGGCTGAGCTGGAACTCTCGTGGAACGGAACCAAAATATTGCGACCTTCCAACGAAGTCTCGTGACCAAACCATTCAGTAATAAAAGGAGGGAAGTAAAAATAATTATCGTGGGTCAGATAAAAATGGTGTTATAACGCAGACTTGAGCATGCGATGTCGTCGATCTTGCCTTGAAACTAAAGGCTCGCGTTACTCGGATCACGTTCAAGGTGCCTCCAACCAATGTAGTGGTCTCAGGCTTTAAAATTTAACTTTTATGCTGTTGTGTGCAATCAAGGTGAATTTTATTTAAGCCATTAGCGTTTAAGAGGTTAAAAACCATTGAATGAATCGGAACTTGTTATCCTTGCTATTCATAAATAAAACAAATCTGATGAAAGATGTGCAAAATTGATATACAACTTTATTCCGCCCACGTGACTTTTAATTAAAACAAAACACGTCCTATTGAACATTTATCATTATGAATAATCTTATCCATAAATCAGATACATAACTAGACTAACGAGACTGTGCTCAGTGCTTAATAATTCCGAAAACGAACTTTACTGACAGTGGAAATATTTCGATTGTTTCAGGTACATACACTCCAAAGAGAAGCCTTTCAAATGCACAGAATGTGGCAAAGGTTTTTGCCAGTCGAGGACGTTGGCCGTTCACAAAATTCTACACATGGAAGAGTCACCACACAAATGTCCAGTTTGCAGCAGAAGCTTCAACCAACGATCCAATTTGAAGACACATCTATTAACACACACAGACCATAAACCTTATGAATGCAATTCATGTGGGAAAGTGTTCAGACGTAACTGTGATCTTCGGAGACATGCACTTACTCATGCAGTCGGTGACGTACCACCGGGAGATGTGCTAGACGTAGGCGAAGAAGACATCGGAAGACCAGGATCTCCCATTGAACCGGGCTATGATGATGAAGATGCCGAAATTTCATCACCTGAACACTCCCCAGTGCGGAGAGCAAGATCTTCATCAGTGGAAAGCATTGGACAAGAACCACAAAGTGAGGAAAAACCACGACGGCAATCGCCAACACCTGTAGAACGCACCCATTGTCATCACAATGAGCAAAGGGACAGAGCAAGCCCATACACAATGCGTCCACAACACACAGACAAACATCGAGCTTACTCATCAGATGAATACGAAAAACGTCGATACACTACTGAGGAAATAATGGAAAAAGAAATGCGCTACACAGAGATTCCTGAACAACAAGTACGGCATCCACAATTACAAATCAGACGAGATTTACACCAGATTCCTCCTCCAGATCCGTCCAAAATGACTCAAATTACAAGTCCGTCCATTGATCCGGGACCTTCTAATATGTACTTGCCTCCATTTAGAAAGAGAAGTCACCCACCAGATATCGGAGATAATCCAAGGTCATGTGCTGCAGTTTACAGAAGCAGATCACCGGAGCCAACCAATCTCACAATGCCTCGGCCTCCAATAGGAAATGGGGAAATGGTAGTCGGTATAGCTCCTACACTTATGGGAATGCCGGCATATCATAAATTTGGATTACCGATGCCACCTCCTCACCCGCAAATCGCATACGGTCCAGTGCCTCACCCTGTTTTGGCACCACAACAAACTGTCGCTCAAGACTTGATTGTTAAGCATGCGCCGCCGAAGGACACAATACCTTCAACGTCCACTATAGTTACGAACTGCAAAGATGCAGGTACAAGCATGAAGGATGCAGAGGAATCAAGTTCGTCTTACATAGCGAGTGGCATTAAAAATATCATTGGTATTCAACCGCCGGCCAATCCCAAGCCGGGGACAAGCGGATCCAGTGGACCGAAAAAAGGTTTCAGTATAGAAGATATCATGAGACGTTAATTTAATGTAACTAAAGTAATTGCATTTCAAATAAGAAGCTAAATTTATACGTAGTTCTACTTTTGTGAAAAGTATTATTAGATAAATTCCTTATGTTAATTGCATGCGTAGGTTTTTGATGTATGTATGTTTTTTTTTTACGTATTCAACGTGGATTTGGTTTTCGTGAAGATCTCATATGATTTGTTTGTGCAGTGTTTTGTTTACTTCAAAATTTTAAGAAATTATATTATTATGATAAACACTCATTATGAAATAGTGTTTCAAACACATATTTTTTGTTTGTTCGAATTGAAAAATACGTTTCGTGTTATGTATGTAATTTTTCAGCGATTTTGTATCTGGTTATTAATAAAAATATTAAGTTATATTTTTGCTAACGATAAGTTTAACTTTAATGTTATTTTAATAAGATACAAAATAAGTCGCGACTGGTTTTTTTTTAATGCAAATGTTATTTATTCTTTATTATTTTAGTTTTAAGCTTCTTTGTTAGTTTAGTATAAATCTTAAGTTAAATTAAAGTGATTTAATTTAAGTATTTAGTATTTTAACTTGTAAATATATAATAATACTGTTGCTGCATTTTATGATAGAACAATTCCAAATTGGTTTACAAGAGTAACACTAATTTATGTAAATTAATTTTTGTAGCTTGATCAACGTAAGTTATTTTGGATTAATTTCGTTTTTATTTTTATTTAAGTTTAAAATAGTTTTATAATTAAAATTTTTAAGTTATCTTTAATATAGTACTGTGGTACCTAAATCTTTCACGTATTTAGATTGGAACACAATTTTATAATTATTATACAAGTAATAAATTATAAACTTAATTGCAACGTTTTATTTATTAAGAGATTCACGCCCGCTTCTCACCAGGCGGGCTGTAAGCTCTCTTCGGCATGTCGTACAACCAGAATAGCACTGAGAGCCCAAAAACCTCGTTGCTTACAAGGGCAATAAAAAATGTTATATTAATAAATTACTTAATTCGTTAGCCATGTTGTATGATTGAGTAACATGCATAACGTTCATATTTATAATATTACACATAATATAATATATACATATCAAATGCCATATATTAAACAAATTGTACGTCACGGCTAACCACGAGACATAATCGAAGTCTCAATTACATGAAACAATGGCCAGTGTCATCCTTTGTAACGCCTAAATTCATCTTATCTGACTAGCCGAGCGCTATGACATGTCCTTCTTCAAACGAGGCTTGTGGAGAGTATTAAGCGGTAGGCAGCGGCTTGGCTCTGCCCCTGGCATTACTGAAGTCCATGGGCGACGGTAACCACTCACCATCAGGTTGGCCGTATGCTCGTATGCCTACAAGGGCAATAAAAAAAAAATCTTCCTGAGAGGTGAGTATATAATTCACTCGAGAGACCAACGTTAGATGATCAAAATCATATCTCGCTGTCCGGTGATTAAATTAACATCTTGATTAAATCAAATGTTTAATAAATTTAAATTTAAAAACCTTACCGCTGTGCGTTCCGTTTTTATTGCTAAGTTTAGTGACACAACTATAAAACAATGGGAGGTCCAAAACGTACATGTTTAATAGAAATTTAATGAGCACAACAAGAACGAAGCCGATCGTTTTTAAAAATTTTGGAATCAATAATGCGAATTTTATTGACTAGATTGATTGGTTTTTGCAGTGTTTTAATTTGAATTTCAATTTGAACATGTCAGTAGAGGTCGCTAGTTTTATAGGTAATAAAATAATCGAAACTTTCTTGTTTTTATAAAGTTAAACGATAAATGACAGAATTTGCAATCTCAATATATGTATATATTATATAAAATGTATTTTAAGTATTGACATCTTTGAAAAATGTAAATTTAACACTTTTTAATATCTAAGGACGCTCTTTAACCTTTGCAACACGTATTCAATATAAAATATTTCATTAGAGAAATTAAGTAGTAATTTGTGGGCATTCTTAGCAGGTTTTCGGTATGCAGCGGCTTGGCTCTGCCCCTGGCATTGCTGAAGTCCATGGGCGACGGTAACCACTTACCATAAGGTGGGCCGTGCGCTCGTCTGCCTACAAGGGCAATAAAAAAAGGTAAATCAATTACATAAACTCATTAAACGTTATAAAGAAAACATCTACTACATACAGCATTCGAAAAGCTACGACGATGCTAATTTAATTCGAACCGAAGTCAGTACAAGTATTTTCAATCACATTTTTCTCGTTCAGAGCCAAAGCGACAGGCCTTATAAGCAAAAAAGGTGTTTCTTTTACGACCGCCATTTTACGAGGCGGCGCGCGAACCGTCCTCTCAGAAACATTCCGACAGCTACTTGGGAGTTTATGCAAATCGCCCGCTGCCGGACCAGAAAAAAAACAACAATAAAAACATATTTTACGATCGAATGTCGTATTATCGATATTTTGATCGGGTGAAAGTAGAGAGCAGTGGCAATCGATTACAATGCGTTTTTTTTTTCTTCATTCGAATTTGGAGCGCAATGAGTTTATTGGTGGCTTTTCGGTGTGAAATTGACGCGCTCGTGACTAACTGGCCGGTTCGATCAGGGCCTTTCACGTACCGTGATTCGGATTTCAAATTATATGATCCGTTTCTAATCAGCCAGTAGCTTGCATGTTGCAGATCTTTGAAAGTAATTGTGCATCTTATTCAGCACACGTGAATAATTTTAGCACAACTCACAGTAAGTAGCATATTATTGTAATGTAAGCAGTTTTTATCACCACATTCGTTGCAACAAGTTCGATTTTGATATCGTTTTATCGATGTTCGTAAAATCGTATTTTTGGTTAATTAAGTTAAATTAATTTAATTTTATAAATATTTATCCATAACTATTTCAATTTGGATGAATTTAAGAGATAATGAATTACGGGTTATTGCCAATGCTGCGTAGCGTAGTATTCTCTGCTGTCCTAACCTCCAATAGTTGTGCCGTTGTATAATATGCTATTTCCTAACTAAGTTGAGTTAAGTGTGAATGCCGCGGCTTAAAATATTAGGTACGGAGTTGGCCAGAAGTCATAAAAATAAATAGACTTAAAATATAGATACGTGTAAGCAGCTATGGCGTCTACAAAGTCCACATCCACGTCTAGTCAGTAACCTGTTTGTTGAAATCTTGTGTGTTGAAAAATTGTTTATTACTCGCGGTAGGACCTCTTGTGAGTCCGCACGGGTAGGTACTACCGCCTATTTCTGCCGTGAAGCAGTAATGCGTTTCGGTTTGAAGGGTGGGGCAGCCGTTGTAGCTATACTGAGACCTTAGAACTTATATCTCAAGGTGGGTGGCGCATTTATGTCTCTGGGCTCCAGCAACCACTTAACACCAGGTGGGCTGTGAGCTCGTCCATCCATCAAAGCATTAAAAAGTCTTTTTGGAGAAAACAGGAAAAGAGAGGTGAGAGGAGACGACAAAACAGAAGAATGAAACAAGAAAGTGATAGAGAAATAAAGAAAAGGAAAAACAATGCGAATTATAAATATACAACTCCTGAAGTATCTTGAAGATCGCCAGCTGATCAGTGACCGACAGTACGGTTTCCGTCACGGTCGCTCAGCTGGCGATCTTCTTGTATACCTTACTCACAGGTGGGCTGAAGCCTTGGAGAGCAAGGGCGAGGCTCTTGCTGTGAGCCTTGATATCGCGAAGGCCTTCGACAGGGTCTGGCATAAGGCACTTCTGTCGAAGCTACCACCTTACGGAATCCCCGAGGGTCTCTGCAACTGGATCGCTAGCTTTTTGGATGGGCGGAGCATCACGGTCGTTGTAGACGGTGACTGTTCTGATACCATGACCATTAACGCTGGCGTTCCACAAGGTTCGGTGCTCTCCCCCACGCTTTTCATCCTGTATATCAATGACATGCTGTCTATTGATGGCATGCATTGCTATGCGGATGACAGCACGGGGGATGCGCGATATATCGGCCATCAGAGTCTCTCTCGGAGCGTGGTGCAAGAGAGACGATCAAAACTTGTGTCTGAAGTGGAGAACTCTCTGGGGCGAGTCTCCAAATGGGGTGAATTGAACTTGGTTCAATTCAACCCGTTAAAGACACAAGTTTGCGCGTTCACTGCGAAGAAGGACCCCTTTGTCATGGCGCCGCAATTCCAAGGAGTATCCCTGCAACCTTCCGAGAGTATTGGGATACTTGGGGTCGACATTTCGAGCGATGTCCAGTTTCGGAGTCATTTGGAAGGCAAAGCCAAGTTGGCGTCCAAAATGCTGGGAGTCCTCAACAGAGCGAAGCGGTACTTCACGCCTGGACAAAGGCTTCTGCTTTATAAAGCACAAGTCCGGCCTCGCGTGGAGTACTGCTCCCATCTCTGGGCCGGGGCTCCCAAATACCAGCTTCTTCCATTTGACTCCATACAGAGGAGGGCCGTTCGGATTGTCGATAATCCCAGTCTCACGGATCGTTTGGAACCTCTAGATCTGCGGAGGGACTTCGGTTCTCTCTGTATTATATACCGTATGTTCCATAGGGAGTGCTCTGAGGAATCGTTCGAGATGATACCGGCATCTCGTTTTTACCATCGCACCGCCCGCCACCGGAGTAGAGTTCATCCGTACTACCTGGAGCCACTGCGGTCATCCATAGTGCGTTTCCAGAGATCTTTTTTGCCACGTACCATCCGGCTATGGAATGAGCTCCCCTCCACGGTGTTTCCCGAACGCTATGACATGTCCTTCTTCAAACGAGGCTTGTGGAGAGTATTAAGCGGTAGGCAGCGGCTTGGCTCTGCCCCTGGCATTCCTGAAGTCCATGGGCAACGGTAACCACTGACCATCAGGTGGGCCGTATGCTCGTCTGGCTACAAGGACAATAAAAAAAAAAAAAAAACAGAGCTTCGTTAAAATGTATTTTTATCTCTATATATAACAATGAATTGCTGTTCGTTAGTCTCGTTAAAACTCAAGAACTGCTGAACCGATTTGGCTAATTTTGATCTTGAATTATTTGTGGAAGTACAGAGAAGGTTTAAAAGGTAGATAAATATGAAATTGCTCGGAATTCAATAAAAATAACAAATTTTGTTTTTTCCTTTGATCTGTCCTCCGTCGGACGGATTCCTTTTGGTTGTTTTAAATATATTTTATACAAAAGTTTAGGTCTTTTATTTATCGATTGAGGCACTACGAAGTCTACCGGGTCTGCTAGTAATGATATAAAAATCTATTATGTGTTCATAAGAGTTTTTAATTAGACAGTCCCTATGGTCGTCACTATTATAACATATCCATAAATCAATACAAAAAACACGTAAGAGACTAAAGTTTTTAATTTGTGACCTCGTCTGTATTAGTTCCTTGTTTCGTATTTGAGGTTGATGTCTAATACATTTTATGCATAATTT